GGGCTCGTGCGCTGCGATCCTCGTGAGCGCGGCCTTCGGCGTGAACCTGTCCAGCGTCTTCTACATTGATAACTGCGTTGTCGTGTCGCAGATGCACGTGATGTACGCTCTTGCATCGGACCTGCGTGTTTTCGGCGGCTCCGTGTTCTCCATACAGAACAGCTCGTGGAGTGCGCCGAGCAGAGAATACTACGAAGGTGCGTGTGTGTTTGGGGGGGTCGCTGTGGATGGCGGCAGCGTGCTTCAGATTGTGTCCAGCACGTTCCGTCTCGGCTTCGCCATGCTCATTGTAACCTCGCTGACCGTGACTGGTGGCAGCTGGCTGGTGCACCGCAGCAACGAGTTTCGCACCGCCTACGTTGTGTACGTGGCTAAATACGACGGTGGGGCGTTCCGCGATCAGAGTGTGTGGTCGATACTTGACAACAAACTTACGTACGGCTCGTACTCGTCTACCATCGCACACATAACCAGCAACTGGTTACCATCATCCGACTCGCGCCCGATCATCTACGGCGTGTGCAACGAGGCAAGGGGCTCTCCTGTGACGGATTACGGAGAAGAGCTCAACATTGGAGCCCCCGTGAGGGTGTTGGACTGTGGCGCATGCACCATGGATGCTGTGTGCTTTTCAGCGAGGACGAGCAGCATCAGCGGCTGTGCTTGTGTGTGCGCTGCTGGCGGCCACGGTGACACGTGTCTGCCGGCTGCTGTTCCAGACGGCCTTGGGCCGCTCCCGCTCCCCGATGCGAAGGACACGGAGGTCCGCTGCGTGCACGGTGGCAGCATCAGCTCCGTGGACTATCCTGGTCCCGGTGTGCGTGTTTTTTGCTTTGTCAACGTGACCTTCACCGCCGCGATTGTGCTGGACCTGTGGAGCCTTGACGCACCACAACAGACACTCAACATCACGCTGCTGCAGTGCGTCCTCATGGGCCTGTTGGTCAAGGGGAGTGGTGCGCGCGTGCACGTGAACATGACATCCTCGATGCTGGACGCCGGAGCATTGGAGTTTGAGGGCCATTTTGGAGCGAGTTCCCGGATACTTGTGGCGGGCAGTACGCTTGTGACGACGTTATTCCATGCCATTGTCTTTCCGGAATTTTCCCTCGGTGCGAAGTCGACGCTGCTTCTACTCGACAACTACATCGAGGGGAATAGTGGCGCAGTTTGTTTCACCAATGCTTTTGTTGTTGATGGTGGCGGGGTCATTGTGAAGGGAAATACACTGAGTACAATAGAGAATAACGGTGTGGAATCATCTGTTTATGTTTACGCTTTTGACGTGAAAAATGGCGGCTACTTTGATTCGGAGAACAACACGATGAGAGCCGTTAGTGGCCTTTATGTTCTTGGGGAAACTACCGTGAGCTCTGCGGGGCTGCTGAGAGTGGCGGACTGCACCTTTATTGGCAGCACGAAGGTTTCTAATTCTGCGCTGGTGCATTTTGACGGCTCGCTGACACTCGAGAGAGGTGCGCAGTGGCGTCTGGAGGGCAACAAAGTGAGGGCAGCCTCACTAATAGGTGTGCCAAAATCCTCGCACAAAATTGCTCTGTCAGGCAGCGGCACTACCGTGGCGCTTGCACACAACCGTCAGTTGGACTCCCGATTGCCCTTTTTCAATTTTTTTCCATTGAGCATTTTCGTGACGTCACCCGCGCGGTTTGTGGTTGGGTGCAACCTGCAGGGCGATGAGGAGGTGTCGTACGACGGTTTGTTTCCGGTGGAAGTGGTGGTGTTCAGGTGCGGCACATGCAACGACGACGCTGCGTGCTACATGCCCGGGACGGACTCGGTGGACCGCGTCTCGTGCTCGTGCAGCTGCAAGGACGGATGGTATGGCGCGTTGTGTCTTCCCTTCGAGGTGCCCGACACGGTTGTGCCGCCCGTGACGGAGAGAGCCGTTGACGGCGAAACGAGCTGCGTGGTGGACCAGACGCTGACGAGCCTCACGCTGAACATGTGGAAGACGCACCACTGCTACGTGGATGTGACATTCAGCGGCGTGGGTGCTGCGCTGACGTTTTTCCTTGACAGCATGCCGCTTCATCTCCCCATCAACATGACGCTTACTGGGTGCACGTTCCGTGACGGTGCCGCGCTGGAGTTTGTTGGGGGTGCGGCGGCGGCCGAGTCAGCCGGCGTCCTCATCCGCGTGAGCCAGACGGTGATGCGGTCCTCTGTTGTTGTGTTTGCATTCGCCCTCCCGCAGCACTGCGATATCGCCGTCACGGAGGTTGACGCGGTGCAGTCTTCTATTCTCTTTTGGCCTGACACTGTGAACAAAAGGTTGAGCGTAGTGGCGCTGGACAACGTCGAGTTGACTGCGTCCTCGCTGTTGGTCAGCAACGTCAAGGCGCATGCAACGAAGCGTGATGCGTTTGGTTTGTACTCTATTGGGACGCTGACGCTGGTGGGTGACAGCTCGCTGTACGTGCGGTACTGCAGCCTTGATGGATACACACACCTGTTCCACGTAAATATCCTCAGTGTCCGCGATCACTCTGTCTTTGCGCTGCTCAACAACACGATGTCCTCCGGGACAAGTCTCCTGTATCAGTGCCTAGACATTAGTGTGTCGGGACACAGCGTGTTGCGCGTGGTGGGGAACAGCGGTTTTGTGTCCTGCGCCATCTTTGTAGACGACTCGTGGACCGTCGAGGAGTCAAGCTGGTTGGATTGGCGCGACAATGACGTGGGAGTGGGTGCGATTTTCCACGAATCCGAATCCACTTTTCTTATCATTGACGACAGCAGTGTGGTGACGCTGACGGGCTGCAAGATGGGCTCGACGGGGTTGTCGGTGCCTTTGCTATTTCGGGCTGACGCCGGCTACCAGTTCGTTGCTGGGTGCCTGACGGTCGCAGGACGTGTTTTGACGACGGCGGCCGAACTGGAGCTCCACGGCATCACCGACGTGACGACGGTTGCCGTGTGCGGGGAGTGCACGAGGGAGAGCGACTGCTTTGCTCCGCTGACGACGGCGGTCGTTGACTGCAAGTGCCGGTGCGCTGCTGGAGGGCACGGCGATGTGTGTGTCCCGGCGCCTGTGCCTGCTGGCCCGCCGCCACCGCCACCGCCACTGCCAGCACCACCACCCACGCCGCCACCGCCGATTGGTGAGTGCATCAGCGACATGGTGTACCCCGAGGTTGCGCAGGCAGTGGGCGGCGGGCTGTCGTGGCTGTGCTACCGCAACGTGACGTTCAGCGGGGGTGGCATGAGCCTGGCAGTGCTGACTGGGGCGATGACGGGCGACGTGGCGAATGTCACGTTCGATGGATGCACGTGGAGGGACGGCGCCGTGCTGTTGCTGTTGGGCAACGCGCATGCCGCTGTGGGGTCGCTGAACGTCTTCGTCACCGGCAACGCGTTCCATGACGCGCTGCTCAGCCCGGAGGGCGGTTTTCCACCGCACACGAACATCACGATCAGCGGGAATCGCTTCACGGTCACGAGGCTGATCCCTCGACCGGGTTTGGGCCTTAGGAGCCCGTCGTGTGTTGCGATGAATGGACTGGCGATCAGCGATGGCTCCGCGGTGGTGCTCAGTGGCAATGTGTTTCATAGCGTGACGGCATCGTCGAGCGCCATTCATGTCGTTGAATCTGCGCTGAGGGTGATGTGGCGCTCCGTGTTTGCTGTGATAGGCAACACGTTTCATATGGCTGGCGGTGACAGTACGCTGATATATCTTGAAGGGTCTAGACATTCTTCGTCACTGATTGTACTGAACAACTCTGCTGTGGTGGTCCGAGGCAATCTTGTGTCGAGGCCGGTGAATTACGTCATTTTTGTTTGTTGGGCATTACGTGTGGAGTCCCAATCATCGGTCGTGTTTCATGGCAACAACATGCAGGGAAGCTTGGTTGTGTTTTATTCAACTTTTTCTTACATTTACTACAACTCCTGGCTGCAGTTGAGCGGCAACCTTTGCCGTGAATCTCCATCGGATACCTTTGCTGTTTTGAGCCCCGCAGTGAATCTCCGCGACTCCACGGTGTCTGTGGCCGGCAACCAAGTCATGTCCAGCAAGGGAATGACCAAAACACTGTGGATATTTTTAGGGACAAGCGATCTTACAAACGGAGAGATTGTGGTTGCGTGCAACACTGTGAACGGCAAGGAGGAAGAGAACTACGCCATTCCGTCCGTGTACAATGCCACCATCCTGACCTGCGGCGATCCATGCACCCTCGCGGCGTCGTGCTTCCCTGCTTACACGTCGACGGCGTCGAGTGATGGCTGTGCCTGCAGATGCGCGGAGGGCGGCCACGGCGATGCGTGCCTGCCCGTTGCTGTCCCCGAGCCACCGAGCACCGACGGCGTCGACTTGTGCGTGCGGGACGTGCGTGTGGGTGTGAAGCTGAGCGCCGGTCTCGGGACGTCGGTGGTGTGCTACGTTGGTGTGACCTTTGCGGCGGACGTTGTGGTGGACGTGGAGTTGATGTCGGGGAGCGTGCGCAACGTGACGCTGGCGAACTGCACGTTTTTGGACGGAGCGATCCTGTACGTTGTTGGGTGGCTGTCCCACCCGCCTTCTGGCGAGCGTGCCGATGTGTTGATCAGCGGCCTTGAGTCGCGCTCCGGCGGCGGCGTGTTGGTGGCGAACCGATTTCCGCCGGGCTCTCGCGTCACTGTGGTGGACTCGGTGCTGATTGCAGAGAAGCGCGTTGCGTACCGCGGCGCCTACGGCCTTGGCGACGCCTCCGCGTGCCTCGTGGTGCACAGCGTGAAACTGACTGGGAGCGTGCTGACCATCGCGCGCACGCATGTGGCGGCTGTGTTCCGTGACGCTGTTGGCGTGTTGGTGGTTGACGGCGTGGCGCTGCAGTCACGTGGTGCGCTGTACTTGGACGGGCTGTCGGTGCAGACGGCGCTGGGGCTGTGCGTGTCGGTGGAGGGCAGTGTTGCTGCCAGTGGCGGCTCCGTGGTGGCGTTTGTTGACAGCGACTTCCTGCTGTGCAAGCACGCGGTGTCCGTGCGTGGGGCTGTGAGCGTGTCGGGCTCCGCCGTGGCGCTTGTGCGGAGCGACTTTTCGTTGACGGAGGACTACGCGGTGACGTTTTATTCGACGGTGAGCCTTGCCAACGGGTCGATGCTGCTGGCGAAGGGCAACGTGCACGACGGCGCTTCGAGGGAAATGCTCCACGCCGCTGGTGCCGTGACCGCTGCTGGGAGCACGCTGAGTTTTGTGCGCAACCGAGCGCTGCAGCCGCGGATGGTGTCGCTGAGCCTGTCGCTCGCGGCTGGGGCGCATTTGAGGGTGGCGTGCAACGACGCTGGTGGGCGTGTCCTGTCGACGGCGGAGGAGTACGCAGCGGCTGGATTTGGCGACGCTGGGCGCATCGACGTTGTTGGGTGCGACGACTGCGACAGGGACACGCACTGCTACGCGCCCGGGACGACCTCTGCGAGCATGAGGAACGGTGTGTGCGTGTGCGTGTGCGGCAGCGGCGGGTACGGCGAGGCGTGCGTGCCTGTGGGAGCTCTCGCACTACCGCCCGCTGTGGGCACCGCGTCGAGTTTGTTTGTCCGCGAGGGCGTGACGGTGCAGTCGGTGTTCGTTGTGCCTGCCGGCGCGAGCGAGGTG